AAAACAAAAGAAAGTCCAAGAGACCTTTAAAAAAAATACCTTTGGGAGATTTGCAAGATTGTTAGCACGTTGAGATAGTCCAGGCAAGAAACATTACAGAAGTATCATTACTACCTTTACCATGAGGTTATGTTAAATAGAATCTTGCAAGATTTAAAGTTATTTCTCCCTTCTTCTCTTTTTAGATTCCAAAAAAACCCTACAAAAGGTCCATTTTGAGAGGCTTCCTATCTTTCCCCCCCACCTATGAACTGAGCTACCTCTTGTCAGGCTGCTACCTAGACTTCCTCTTGCTTCATAAGCCTCTGAATTTTCTCTGATCTATAAATTCCTTTCTCTGGGAAAGGACTTTCTTAGATTTAATTTCACAAAGCAAACGAAGATTGTCTTTTGCCCATTTAATTGCCATTTGGTTTCTTAATTTCACCTGTTTGACCTTAGCTATATTTTAGATGGTCGTCACCTCCCATAGTTAGCAGTTACAGAAGTGAGAGGAGCTTTTTAATTTAAAAATAGAAATAGCTAGAAAACCCTTCTTAAGTTGTTTACTCCAAGAAATATACTGTAAGTCTTTATATTTCAGAATATTGTTTCATTCTTCTCTCATATACCCATAATATAGAGCTAATATATATGTGCCTGTAGAACAGTGGTGGAATTCAAATTTTTTTACTACCGGTTCTGTGGGTGTGGCTTGGTGGACATGGCAGGGGAAGGATACTGTAAAATCTCCAGTCAGAGGTGGGATTTGCCGGTTCCTCCGAACTACTCAAAATTTCCGCTACTGGTTCTCTAGAACTGGTCAGAACCTGCTGAATACCACCTCTGCTGTAGAACCAAATTTAAATACTATGGTATTGTAATATAAAATGTAGTGCCCCTCACTTAACCAGGTAGCCCCATGTGAGCTGGATCTACAGTTCCCAAAATTCTACTTTATTTATAACCTTCCCTTCTCCCAAAGGTTCTTTTTCAAGAGGAAGCTAGACTTTCTGTGTTTTTTTTTCCTTTGAAGATGTTTTGCTTCTCATCCAAGAAGCTTCTTCAGCTCTGGCTGGATGGTGGGGAATGGAAGATTTTTTGCTCCTTGCAGACAACTGGTCATTTGCATCCTTTTAGTGAGTCAGGCAAGGGATATCAGTTCTTTCATTCCCCATCCAACCAGAGCTGAAGAAGCTTCTAGGATGAGAAGTGAAACATCTTTAAAGAAAAACAACAAAGTCCAGTTGCCTCTTGAAAAAGCACCTTTGGGTCAACCATGACCTGGATGACTGAGAATCTCCATAGACATTTAACCTTCCCATGGGTTACCCAATGATAAAACAAGAGGGAGAAGGACCAATATCAACACACTTGTTGGACATCTTGTTGGGAAAAGCTGAGGCAGAGAGGCCCCCCCTCAAGTCCTTTGATCAGGGCCATTTGGGTACCTCCTGTTAGAAACCAGCAATTTACTTGTCTGTCTAAGGCAGAAGTGCAGAAATTAGAGAGTCATCATGAAAAAGCAAATTGCCATTTTGGGCCAGCAGCCATTTCCATACTTAGGATTTCAGTCCTCCAAACACAAAGGCGAGTGAGCATGAAGAACGCCAGAGAGGCCGTCTGTTTCAAGAAACGCAATGATCTCACTGCAGACCCTTTGCTGACCCAAGAGAACAGAGAGTAAAAAGGTTGACCTTCCCCTGACTCTGCTTCCCTTTGGTTACAAAGAGGGGACCTTCGGTCTGCAAACGACCTGCTCCGCCATCGGTCCTGTGCTCAGACTGTTGATCCCATTCCAAAGAACTACATTGTTCCCAGTGGTGGCTAAATCACAACTGATCCTCTCGTAGTATTCAGAATCTGCTCAGAGCATCATTCCTTAAGTCTCACCTTTACTTTCTGTGGCTATGTGAAACGATCATATAGACCAGGGGTCCTCAAACTTGGCAACTTTAAGACTTGTGGACTTCAACTCCCAGAATTCTCCAGCCAGCACAATTCTCATAATTCATTTCAACTATATTCTATAAATTCATAAAACATAGTTAATAAACTTATCGTAATTTCTCTTTTTTCACATTCATCCATTTTTCTCTATATTTAGTTTAACAAAAAACAGTATTCCAATAACAAAAATATCAGTTCCAATCTTTCATTTTAATAATCTATATTTTCCTACTTTCTAAATATTTTATTACTTGTAATATATTTATACTGCACCTTATTGTTAAGTGAATCTGGCTTTACTTGTAAGAAGGTTGCAAAAGGCGATCCCATGACCCTGGGACACTGCAACCATCATAAGTTGCCAAGTGTCCGAATTTTGATCCCGTGACCATGGGGATGCTACAATGGTCATAAGTCACTTGTTTCAGTGCTGTTCTAACTTTGAATAGTCACTAAATGAATAGTTGTAAGTCAAGGACCATCTGTAATCTTATTACAAGCTGCCCTCCTCCACAACATTTTAAACACAGCAGTGGAACAGGCCGCTATTGGAATCAATGTAAGATTCAATAAACACTAGACATCTTCCAGTGATATGTAATAATAAGACCAGGAAAACGGTCTGGTTATAGTCTTTGGTCTAAGAGTCAATGTTGTATGTTTTTCAAGTCCCTAAGAACAGCTCAGCATCACCTCTGAAATACTGAGATATGCAGATGTGTGGATGGATTGCATTAGTCTGAAAGAGGGCCAGCTTTCCTAGTGAACCCTTAATTATGGGAGGACAGGAAGAGGTTTAACTGTCAGAGGGCAAGGCCCCGAGCATGACATTTTGGAAAAGGTTTTGGACTGAATTCTCAGGTGCGGTCATAAGTTAAGAACCTTCACATTTCTGCTTTCCCAAAAGAGCAGTTGCTTTTTACTGCACTTCTAAGTTTTATCATGTCTAAAACATTCAACATCTAAGAGCAAAGTGTTCTTGTTTCCATATGGCTCTACCTACAGTGTTATATTTTTCATCTTCATAATGTGATCCACATCACATAGTCTATGGTGCCGTATCCAAATGCATTGCATATGGGTGATTTTCTTCCTTAGCTGTCTGGATCTCTAAGCTAACCTGTCCTTTATCTGCTCCCTTCCTCCTCCTCCTCCATCTGTGAGGTGTGCAGATGTGAGATGGGGGTGGGGGAAGATGGCTGAGATGTTTACACCTTGAGCTACGGGTCTCCTAAATCTGAAATGTTGGTAGCATGCTATGGATACTCTCATCAAATAACCACTAAGGATGTGCGTGAACAAAGTTCAATTTATCAGGAGGCCAGTTGAGCATGTTTTCCCTCTAACCTTCCAGGAAACTTTCTATCACCTCATGATTGTCTTTTTCTGGGCTCACTTCCAAAATGCTGGACTGAAGCCAACCACCATTTTTATTTCCTGAGGAGATCTCTCTCTCTCTCAACAGGTGAAACCACCTGGCCAATGTCTGCTTTGGAAAACTAAATAGGGTTGAACCTAGTTAGCACTTGGAGGGAAGCCTCCAGGAAATAGCAGAACTGTAGGTTGCTGGTATGATCTATCTCTCTGTCCTGCCCTCCTTCTCTCTTTCCTATTTATATCTCTATGTTCTAACCATCCATCCATGCTGGAAGAAGAAGACAGTAGCAAATCACTTCCATGCGGGTTCCTCAAACCGTCATGAAATCTCCAAGCATCAAGCTCAGCTTGAAGGAAACTTGTCTATCTCTATAGGGTCTATAGATCATTTATTTGTAATGCTAGCACACCTGAGGCTGGTGGGTTGCCTGACTTTTGAAATGGAATGATTTATTTTATTTTATTTTATTTGTCAATCACTTACAAGATAATAGGTATAAGGATAAAACATAGTTATGAATGAGTACTCAAGAAATGAACAAGAAATGAGTACATATAAGAAAAATAAAAGAAACAATAGGACAGGGACGGTAGGCACTTCGGTGCGCTTATGCATGCCCCCTACAGACCTCTTAGGAAAGGGGTGAAGTCAATAGTAGACAGTCCAAGGTTAAAGTTTTTGGGGTTTGGGGAAGAAACCAGAGTCAGGTAGAGTATTCCAGACATTGACCACTCCGTTGCTGAAGTCATATTTCCTGCAATCAAGTTTGGTGCGATTAACCTTGAGTTTGTATCTATTGTGTGCTCTTGTATTGTTATGGTTGAAGCTGAAGTATTCATTGACAGGTAGGACATTGCAATGTATGATTTTATATACTATACTTAGATCGGACCAAAGGCGGTGTAGTTCTAGGTTTTCTAGGTCTAGAATTTCAAGTCTGGTGGCATAAGGTATTCTGCAACGAGTAGAGGAGTGGAGAACTCTTCTTGTGAAATATTTCTGGACTTTCTCAACTGTGTTAAATGTAGGCTATTGTATGGACTTTAAGTTCATGTGCCCTCTACATCTTCTCTTCCAAACCACCAACCTCATTACAAGCTTTGCCCTCTCAGATAAGCCTCGTCCTGTATCCTTCATAATGTTTTCCTGCTGGTTTGTTGAGTAGGATAATGATGAGAAATCGTGGGACACGGGGAATTTTCATCTGTTCTATGTTTTTGTCCTTTGTCAGATTCTAGGAAGTAGTTGGAAATGAGGGAAACAAACCCATGGAGAGGATCGAATGGTCAGATTGGTTTTGATAATATGATTCCACTCATATTATCCCATAGCTCACCTCCAAATGTTTGGAGATACTCCTGGCTTCAGTTACTGCAGCTAGTCTTTGTTTTCTGGAGAAAGCATTTCTTGATTATGTCAATGGTTTGCTTCACATCTTCAATTTCTGGCTGGGTTTACACATTTCACTAAGCCATGGTTTGGTTTAACAACGGTCTGTTGGATAAGCTGGAGTTGTATATTATAAAGAGTCTCAACCATGACAACCAAGACCCAATGTCCAGGTGCTTACAAGATGTTCAGCCCAAACTGGAAAAAAAAAGCTATATACAATGTTTTAGACGAACACAAAAATATCATAGCAATTGACTGGATCTACACAGGAATGTTGTTTATTTCTGTTGGTTGGATTGTTCTTATTTCTTTCCTGGAGTTCTCATCAACAACTCCTTGATCTGTTTCATAGGCAAATTGGCAGCATTACTATCTACCTCATTTGGGCTACCTTGGCTAGTAATGCTGGACAGGGGATTTGGCAAAGCAGGTAGGAATTCCTGCAGCTCACTTTGGATTACAGCAGGGCTGTTTAATCAAAGCTTCATCAAAGCAAGCAGGGAGCACTCATTGCAACCCATGTCTGGAAGGAAGCATCTTAAAGAAACTTTCTGCAGCTCAGAGAGTTAGTGAAGTGCTAAATTCTGTTTGGCGCAAGCCCAGAAACTCATCACAATTTGGGGCTTCAAAAAAGACTTTGAGCTCGTGGAGCAAGGCTGTGTGAAACTCGATTTCATTGAGGGACGCATCAGAGGTTGTGTTTGATCTCGGGGGAGGGGGCAGGGGTAGTGCTGGGGTGTGGCTGGGGTGGGGTGGGTGTGGACACGGTGGGCATGAACAGACACTAAATGAATGGTAATGTAAGTCAGGGACTCCCATTATTTTTGAGTTGTAGCATACACTCGTTACCCTTTGTCTTACAGAGCTGTTTGGAGATATTTTCAGGTGAAGATGAAGGAATGCTTACCTGATTTTCTAATTAATCTTTTTAAAAATTCCAAAGAGGATTTTATGTTTGGGATAGTAACTGCTACATTTGACTCTCAAATATAGTTCAGAACTAGAAAACACTCTCAGATTCCTCTCCTTAAGAGAAGTAATAAAACTTCATGAGGGAGAGTGGTAAGGCATTACTGCAGTAAATTATTTTTTTACTTTTTTAAAAACTTCCTTATGGCTTCAGTTAGTCCTTCTAGCTCAACTTTCCTTGAGGGTTTTGAGTGCATGCGCTGCCTTCTCACAACTCACGGAGCAATGAAGAATAATGAATTTCTTTAGGGAATATAATAAATGACAAGGGTTGGTGATACCGTTCAAAAGGTAGATCATACCAGAGGTGGTATTCAGCTGGTTCAGACTGGTTCGGGTGAACCTGTCGTGGAAAATTTGACCAGTTCGGGGAACCAGCAAATATCACCTCTGACTGGGCCTGCCTACCCGACCAAGCCCTTTCCCATCCTATATCCTATTGATTTTTTTTAACTTAGCTGATTTGCGCGGCAGAGTGGACTGTCGCACCTCAGCTGAGCTAAAAAAACAGCTCACCTCACCATGGGCAATCTTTGAGTTCTGCGTGTGCATGTGAAGCAATCTGTGAGTGCTGCATGCGAGGGAAGTGGCCTTAGAGTGTAGCGTGAGTTACACTTAGAGTAAACTTAGAGTTTACTGAGGTAGGTAAAATGAGGAGCCAGATTGTTGGGGGCAATACGCTGATTCTGTAAACCACTTAGAGTGGGCTGTAAAGTACTATAAAGCGGTATATAACTCTAAGTGCTTTTGCTATCAACTGCTGTGATCCACTTAACAACTGTGGCAAGAAAGCTTGTAAAATGGGACAAAACTCACTTAACAAATGTTTCACTTAATAACAGAAATTTTGAGCTCAATTTGTGGTCCTAGGTTGAAGATTATTTGCATTCCCTGATTCCCAATGTGGTTAAACAGATAATTGCCTCTAAACGTGGTTACCTTCACTTGAAGGAACAAGTAACATCCAAGAGATGTTTCTACACTGAATGAATTGTGGATATGCACAGCTGTTGTGATCACATTATGATCACTCTTATCCCATTTCACCTTTTTTCCTTGCCTTCTCATTGTGGTTTGGCTCCAAACACCTAATGTTTTACTTCTAACTATAAATAGTGAACGCCAATTAAACAGTTTCTCCCTGATGAAGAATTAAAGCTAGATCTACACTACATTATAATTTCCAACTAGTTAGGTAAATCTGTAGCTCTCCAGATGTCATTTGACTCTACCTCTACTGAGCCTTATTCCAGATGGCAAGTCATTGGAGATTATGGAACAGTAGCCCAATGTTTTCTCAAATTGTATAGATGTTATCTCTCTTCTACTTCAAGATGAAGGAGAAAGGAGAAATTTTCAACAATCAGGACTAAACATTTGGCATTTGCTGGATGCCTCTGTGTTATAATTTGAATCAAAATTGCCTGAAGAAAAATTTTAATTTATCTAGGAATGTTTTGAGTTTATTTCCACTTACGTCATCTTGGAGAGATTCTACATTTTAAAATTCAAAGGGAACCTCATTTCTGGGTATGTTGGTGGGTCAAAGCAAGTGTAAATTGAATTTTAATCCAGGAAACACAGATTGATACGGTAGCTCCACAGTTAGGACGCTGAGCTGGTAAGCTGGAAAATCGGCAGCCCAGGTTCAAAACCCAAGCGCCACATGATGGGATGAGCTTCCATCCTCACTCCAGCTGCTTCTCAACTAACAGTTTGAAAGCATGCAAAGGCAAGTAGATAAATAGGTACCATTTTGGTGGGAGGGTAACAGCACTCTGCAATGTCATGTGGCCACAGGACCACGGAAGTGTCTTTGGACAGCAATGGGCTTAATGGCCTTGAAACAAAAATGCACACACACACCCCACTCATAGTCAGCAACGACTAGAGGAGTAAAATCAGCAGGAACTCCTCAGGAAAAACAACCAGATGGAAAAAAGCTGAAAAAAATGGCTGCCCACTTTAATATCTGTACATTTGTAAAGCAAGATCCAAGTGCTATAGTAATCATGACAAAACTGACAGTTTCCTATTCCTATTGTGCATCTTGGTGAACCCCAATAATTATTTTCTTTCTTCAACAGACGCCATCATTGTCCTCATCTACCAACCAAGCCCTTTGGCACGAATGAGAAACCATGTCTCCTTTCTGAGTATATGGAAAAATACCCCCTTTATCCCAACATCCTACCTCGGGAATCATGCAAGCCCACCACGGAGTACCAGAAGCAGCCAGTGCCAATGGAAGCCCTTTCAACAACCAAGTAAGGCAACAGAAATGGAAGCAAAGGCAGGGTTACCAGATCTATCCTGCAACTATCCAAATGACCACCAGGTGGGAGCAAAGAGAGTTCTCTGTGTAATGGCTGCCATCTAGTGGTCATCTGAATTGCAGACGTAGTAGCCCCCAAAGAAGAGCTGTTAAAGGCCAAAGATTGTGGACTTGATTGCATAGTTTGTGTATATCTGGGGGAGGGGGCTTGGGTGGGAGGAGATAATGTTGCAATGCGTCTTCTCCCCCCCTCGAATCTGGATGATAACAGTAGGTTTCATTATTATCTGGATGTTTCTGGATGAGTTCTTTAACTGTATATTTGGGCGGGTGCCTTCATGAAATAGGAGGAATGAATGCAGATGTGAATGAATGCAGCCTCTCATTTGGTAAACTGATTGGGCTTTCCTACTGCTTCTTTGCCAATAGGAAAGAAAAGTTGAATGACTACACAGATCCATTTAGTTGGGATTGCCCACCTGAAATAATTCCTTCTTGAATGGGAAAACCAGAGCTGAAGAATAGCCAAGCCCATCCTCTTTCTTATAACTTTGTTGCTATTGTTTTAGCCACATCTCTAGCATTCCTGTATTACCTGCTGAGTAAATTTGGAAGCCCCACAAATGAGGCACACAAAACAGGTGCTATCTTTGTAAACAACTAAAAGCGGCACAAGTGGTTTTTTTTCATGCAGTGTTTTTGTACTGTATTGTTTTTGTAATGTCAACTCAGTAAACAAATATTTAAACTCCCTCTCTCTATCGAGCTAAAGCATTTTATAACGAAGTACTTTTATTCACTGCTGTCAGTAGACAATTAAAAAAAATACTGTCAATAGATCTTGAAGAATTTTTTTTAAATATGTCCCTCATAAAACCCTGTAATCCTTAAACTGACTAAGAAGCAAACGATTATCAAAATAAAAAGCCTTTTTTGAAATTATTAAGTGCTATGCCAATATTTGTTGATGATGTACCAATAAAAGTTATATATCATCACAATTCAAGCAGTGCTCTCTGCATCTTTGCCCTATTGTACATTTGCTTAAAAGCTTCCTACAATACAGGAAGTACCCATTGGTAAATTCTTTTGCTCAGTCTTCCCCAAATGGAAAGATTTTGTACTCTTATGTCACAATTTTTTTTAAAAAATAATGTGTCTGTGAGGAATAACACAACAATCTGAAAGCTAAAAGTATCTCCAAATCACTGATAAGCAAAAAGAAAATTAGCGGCGGGAACTTTTTCGGTATGAGTTATGCAGGGTTCAAGTGAATTTAATAAGCAACATTCTGGTAGGTTTAGATTTAGTCATGCTTAAAGTAAGAGTCGTTAAAATCTATGAGAGGACTTGGAAACATGTCCAATTGTTTTCAATAGGACTAAGTTAAGCACGACTATCTGTATACCACAAGCTATTCACTTAACGAGAGCTGTTGATGTTTACAGGAGAGATTACATCCCACACGAAGTTTTCCGTATTAAACAGAAACCTCCTGATCAATATGTCAAGAGCAATGAATGTATGGACCTACAGTCTACGTATAGACAAGACTATAACCCATACTCCGTATCGCGAGTGGCTCCTTGCATGCCCCAGGAACAAAAATATTATTCTGATGAGAAGATGAACACAGTCCCCACGTATAAAAGTAAGAGTTGAAAGAATGATTGGAAATATTTCAGATGCATTAGACATCTAAAATATTAGTTTTAGTTAATAACCTCCTTTTTTTTCAATAACCTAAATGGGAATGATTATTCCACCTTACAAGTTGGCATGTTTTTAAGGGGCGCTTATAAGTGCCTTGAGTAATCCTTTTGCCCCTTAAACTTATGTCCACTTGGAACTTCTGGAAGTTTTGATCTTGTCCTTTCTCAGGGTTTCTAAGGAAGTGCAAATGTTTAAGACTCTTACACAGGTCACATGTGCTGGTTTCCCCTATCCCTCTCCTTGGTGTTTTATAGTGTACAACTTTTTTGGGACATCGGAAGTATTTTGGAAGAGGTGTGAGTGAAATAATGGGGAACTGGCTATGTGTGATCAAAGGAGACCTACATCAATGAAGGAGGGCAAGAAATCATTCTTGTAGGCCGATCATCAAGATATAATAAGACTCATTCCCTATGTCTTAGTCACAAGAATTGTCTGTTAGTTGAGCACATCCATAGCAAGTACAAAAGGGAAAGAAAGATCCTATCAAACAATTTTGCTCGTTCAGCAGAACTAGGAGTCTGCCAACCCTTCCAAATGACAACTTTATCCAAACAATCGGATCCTAGCGGTACGCCGTTACTCTTCCTTTTCAATGACAAAAATGACGATAAGCAGCTCCTGTTCTCCCTTGACGTGCCTCTGATATATGTAACATCTGGTCAGTCTTACGTGTGGATTGACATGAATCAATTTCTCTATCAGTGGGCTTTAATGATATGATACGAGCCATATGCAAGTCTCAGTCAAAGACCTGTACTATCTAGAGCAGCCTTTAGCTGAAGATTTGAAGAGCTCCGATAAAACACAGCTTCATCACATTTGGTTGCAATTTGCAAGATCTTTCAAAACACCCTGCAAACGGAAATCTTCTTCAAATAATTAGTCCCACGATCTTACTCCATATTGTAGTGATTCATCCTTTAAGGTCTGAAGCTCACCAGCTTTCAAGGGTACGACAAAGCCAGTGATCTTTCATATCCAGGCAATTGAACTGCCTATAAGGAGAACCAGATCTCCTTAAAATACATTCAAGGTGTAGAGTGTATGCATGCATGAGTCACTTCCTCCTAGGGGCAATTGCTCTGATGAGCATGTGGGCATCCATTGAAATGAAGGGGAACACACAACCAAGAGACCACAAGGCCAGCTCAGAGAGAATGGATAAAAACTGTGTACTGCACAAAATAATCTATCAAATGGCACACCCAAGTTGCCGCACTGCAACCCCAAGTAGGAATACATTAGAAGATTGAAAAGAAAATATATTACAGTGAACGTACCACAACTTTACAGCATTATTATTCCTTTAGTTTATTCTGCCTGCTCATCAAGTTATTATACAGATAGGGAATCAATGCCAATGAATTTGCATGTGATTTTCACTGTCACCTCTTCTTACTCAGAAATTCCTGATAAGAGAACACAGTGGTAAAATAATTGGATTTTATATTATGAGCAGCTTGTTTTCGATCTGGTGCACCTTCTAATTTGTTAAGCGTCTTTCTTGTCTTATGACACTGATACTTCCAGCTTTCATTGTCCTCATGGCTTATTTTTTGAGTGGGTAAACTATGTCAGGTTTAAGACCAGCCATGGGAAAACTGAGGCCTTCCAAGGACAGTAATGTCATTTCTTTCACAATCCCCAACCAGTCAGTGCCATCATGGTGCCTGGCAAGGATGGGCAGTTGAACTCCTACAACATCTGAAAGATCACCATGTCCCTGCTCTGCTGTTCTGCCTTTTCTCCAACATGATCTGTCTTATCTTATGCATAATATATCAAGCTGTGTTAGATTTATCCTTTAAAAAAACCCCAAAAAACCTCCTACCACTTTTCTGGTGAATGGAGGAACCTCTTTTTTCAGATCAACCCTGTTTTGATACATTGATTGGGACTGAAATTGACCACTGCCTTGCTGGCAGAGCCTGAAAATAAATGAGTGGCCCAAAGTCACCCAGATGCAGTAGTCGGATTAAACTAATTTAACAACTGGTTTGCCCAGGGTCAGGTTGGCTGTTGTGGGAA